AGACATTTTTCTCTGGTAGTTAAAAAAAGACAAGGATATCCACATTTGCTACTCTTATTCAACATAGTATTGTAAGTCCTAACAATGACAGTCAGGCAAGAAAAAGATATAGAGAGAATTCCAAGTGGAAAAGAGGAATAAAATTGTTCCTGTTTCCTATATATTCCAAAGATTTGCTATGGTTTGTATATTCCCCCAAGTTCCTAAGTTGAGATTTGATTGGAATGTATTAAAGGATCTTAATCAGACTATGATACTGAAAGATGGAGTCTTTAGGAAGAAATTAGTATTAAGGTCATTAGGTCAGTGTCCTCATGAATGAGTCTTGGTAGATTTATAAGGAGAGGGATTAAGACAAACAGAGACTGATGGATACAGCCTCTTTGCTCTATTCTTAACCTCTGATGTGATGCCTTAAGACTCTGCAAGATTCCCACCACATATGGACCTCTAAATCATGAACTGAACAAACTTGTATTTTTATAAGTCACTCAATTTCAGTTATTTTATGTAATTAGCAATGGAATGGACTAGAACAAGACTCCACCAAAAACCTATTAGAATGGATAAGCAAATTTAGTGAAGTTACAAGATACAAAATCAATATACAGAATCAGCAGTGCTTTCATACACCAATAACAAAGTAACTGAAAAACAAAAACAGCAATTTAATTTACAAAGGCTGAAAAAAAAATACCTAGAAACAAGTCCAACTAAGGAGAAAAATTTCACTACCATGAAAATGGTAAAACACCGATAAAAGAAATTTTAGAAAATTTAAAATAAAAAAATAAAAATGCATCCTATGTTCATGGATAGCAAGGATTAATTTTATCAAAATGCTCTTACCATCCAAAGCAACCTACAGAGTCAATGAAATTATTAACAAAATACCAATGGCTTTCTTCACAAGAAAAAAAATATATATTTGAACTGAGCCATGAATGACATCAAATAGCCAAAGCAATATTGAACAAAAAGAGCAAAGCTGGAGTCACCACACTACCTGAATTTAAAATATACCACAGAGCTGTAGTAACCCAAATAGCATGGTAATGAGATGAACACAAACACATAAATCAATGGAACAGAATAGAAAATCCCCAAATAATTCTACATATGTACAGTCAACTGATTTCTGATGCAAACACCAGAAACACACATTGGCAAAGAAGTCTCTTTTATAAGTTGTTCTAGGAAACTTGGATATCCATGTGCAGAAAAGTGTGTGGAGTGATTGACAAATACTGCTGCATAAGATACAGGTGGCAAGGTGAAGTGGGATCCCTGCTCTTGTTATTTCCTTATGCCATCTGGAACCTCCTTAGCCTGCTACAGATACACCATTTTTTTGATGATTAACTATGTCATCAGAGGTACTCACTGGAATTTATAATTCTGTAGATCTGAAAATATCCAAATTGTGATGAAAATACTCAACATTAGTAACAGTCAGTTACTATTTCCTAGAGCATACTGAGCTCTACAAAGGCCCAGTAGCCCAGTAGCCCAGTAGGAGGTACAACGGAAATAGTGGTCTCCCCTGCAAATGTGTTGATAAAAGAGTATGACTTAAAAATTTTCTACTGATCCTGATAGTGGGTTTTGCGTGTACTTAATCTCCTTGTAATATATTTAGTTTCTTCGTAGCTTGATCACAAAGACCACAGTACAAGGCATCTCACATCACAGCCTACAGTGTCCTCTCCCGCCCTTTGCATCATCTCCTGTCAAAGGTGTCCTTGTTGTCATAAAATCATTTATTGACCCAATTTCACAATAATTTCATAAGGGTTAATTTTTTATAGTTATTTCTGAGGTAACTGTTCCAGTATGAATCCCCCAAACGTGAGACTGAGACAAGAACCTAAGCACAAATATTTCTAGGAAGTGATAGTGGAAGCAGGAATAGAAAAGAGATGTTTGCCACTGTAAGCAAGGGTCTTCGTTCTCTAACACATAAGGAGACTTCAAAAGTTTGATGAAAAATAGAATTAAAATGCAAGGTTTTAAATTTTTTTAAATTTCTTTTTAAAAGTAATTATTTTATTTAAATTTATTTATAATATTTATTTTGATTTGAGCAGAGAGGGACAGAGTGAGAGAGAGAGAGGGAAAGTGATAAAGCAAGCCACCAGGTTTGGGACTAGAACCACGGTTGACCATGTGAGAGTCTAGCACCCTTAACCACCACACCACCTGCTGGCCCCACAAGGTATTTTTTGAGTGAAAGAATATGAAATACATGCATAGTTTTTTTCTCTTTCAGTAATATGGGTTTCTTATAAACTTTTAAAAGCAGATGTCTCTAAAAAATGTCCACCAGAAAGGTAAGATGCTAGCTCTGGTCACCAATCGAATGGTTTCCTTAAATCCCCTGTCTAAAAAAGCAAAATATTACTGGACACAAAAATGAAAAGTCATCTGTTGATGACAATGTGTATTGCCGTATCTTTGACTTGACTAATATATAGTGTATTCATGTTGGGAAAATACATTTTGTATGTTGTAAATATACACAGTAATTAAATGTGAAAATTAAGAAAAATATATAAGAAAAATATTTTAAGTAAAATAAAAGCAGAATAAAATGACAGAAACAACAGTATATTTTAAAATAGGCTCAGAAAGAGCACAATGCACAGAAATTGACAAGAATGATTATATAAAATTTATATAAATTACCATTAATATGTCAAATTGAATATATATGCAAGGGTTCCTTCTACAGTGATTTGAGAAAACAAATAAAAGCCCAACTCCCTAAATATTAATCATCAGAAAAAATCATGACGTATTTTTGCATAGAAAAATAGACTGTCCCAATGACCCAATATATCCCTTTTAATTCTCAGATTAGCTATGATAAATGAAAGAAAAATTTTCAAAGCTTATTCAGCTGAAACTATTCAACAAAGATGAAGAGTAGTTTGTTTTTTTTTTTCAACAAATGGTGCTGCTACTGGTAATTAATTACCTGAATGTCATATCATGTACAAAAAATGAACTGAAACTGGATCATAGACATAAATTCAAGAACAAAAACAATAAGCCATTTAAATAAAAATACAGGAGTAAATGCTTGTTTTAGTAAATGTTTTTCAGTGACACTGAAATCAGAAGCCATTAAAGTAAAAAAAAAACAACAGATGAACGGGCAACATCAGAAGTAAAACATGTTGTTCTTCAGAGGATTCAATCAAGAAAATGAACCCGCATCCCCTATAATGGAATACAGTATTTGCCAACTGTATATCTGATCAGGGACTTGATCCCAGAATAATAATGAAGTCTTACCAGTTTAAAATAAGGTGCATAAAACCCAATTAAAAATAAATTAGGATAGACATTTCTCCAATGGAGACATAAAATTGGCACTAGGCACATAAATAGAGGCTTAACAATATTAAGCAAGATAAATAATCTCTAGAAATCTGCTGTAAAACATTGCACCTAGAGCTGAGTAATTAGAACAATAAAAATGTTGAGTAGACCTCATGGAAAGTGTTTTTATCACACAAAAATAAAATAAAAGTGAAAGAAGTGTAATAAAAAAGAAAATCCCCTATTTGGTTCTAATTTTATAACATTTCAGAATATGCCCTGAGAGTAAGGATGACTACAACAAAGTAATTCAACAGGCCTTTAAGACACGAAAATCCTTCTCTTGTGACTGTGAAAAACAGAGCTGAAGGGTGGCGTACCTGAAGTCAGAGTAGGCTAAGACTTCAGGCTGAGCCAGGGCTTGATGAAGATATTCCTGCAGACGAGTGTACTCCACTACATAAATCTTGTGTAGTGAGTATAATTCTGCATTTGCCTTATTAAATTATGCATTAAACCACGGACTCCGACAAATAAACATAAAAACAAATGTAGAGTTGAGCATATAAAAAAGCAAGTATGATGCTTGATGATGTGAGAGATTAACATGGGCATTAGAATATGTTTTTTGGCCGAGGGTCAGTGGTCACGGCTGACTTTAAGCCACTGTTATTTAACAATTTAGCAGTTATCAAAGAAACTAAGTGTCTTAATATAAAATATACATGTAAAGCATGAATGCCAAGTCTCTTACATGGCTTCTGGGTTCATCACACAGACACGTCCCGGACACTGGCATTTGTTAACGTCGTCGTAAGCAATGCCCATACTGAGACTCAGCAACTGAGCTATAATAACTGAGAGTGATTCCAGACTTATAGTTCTGGGGTGCTGAAAAAAAAAAGCATAAATGTGCATGCACATATTTTAAGAGGCATTTCATTCACTGGGAGAATAATGTAATTATTAAAAATCGTCACCTGCTAAAATAGGACAGAAGGACAGAAATACCTAATATATTATTGATAGAAGTTCCATCCATGGTGGCCTAATGAATATATTATAGGTACCATACATCCAATAAAACACAAAAAAATCTGAAATCTTACCAAAATGCAAATGTAGGACTCATTTGGTAGCATTAGAACAAGGAAGAAAATTCCACTTGTAACACAAAAGAAAATCTTTAAAGACAAATATATAGGCACATATAGTGTCAAATTATAAACAAGTTGTGTTCATTCATAACTTGATTTTTTGCAGGTGATATTTTGTATGACTATTACATAGATGGTCTTTTTTGTTTACACTTTCTGTTTTTTTGTTTTAGTTTTTGCTTTAGGGTATGTGCACTTGCCAGAGAGAAACAGAGAGAAAAGTGGAGAAGGAAAGTGAGAAATCATCCCTCAGGGTGAATGGCCATGCTGCAATCCCTTCTCCTCCATTCTCTTCTAGGAATTTCAGGCAATCATGTGTTTTTTAAGATGCTGGGTCCAGGACTGAACCACACAATTGGCCACATGGGATCTGGCTGCCTCAATCTCTGTGCCACCTGTTGACCTCCATAAATGTTTTGTTAAACTCATAAATTAACCCATTGGTTTAATTTATAATGTGGTAAGAATTACTCATAATAAGAATACTAACTTCTCATAGTTGTTTAACTTTGTTTTCAAAATGAAAATGCCTTATCATTTCTTTTTTTGTGAAAGTAAGGTTCTTTGTATTTTGACCATACTAAAATATGAATTTTGAGAAAAATCCACAAATCCTGATATCCTTTCAAGTATATCTGGTAACATTTTGATGAGCTTATCTCAAGAAAGGTTTCTACGCATACATTTTGGTTTCTTACATTTTTCTCTCTAAATCTGATTCCCATCGTTTTCTACTCTGCTCTCTAGCTCAGGAGGATGGATCGAGTGGATTACATCAGAGGATTTCTTTGCCCTCTCATTTTGTCAGTGGTCCGGAGGGGAGCAGAAAATGAAATGAGAATAAAAGAGAGGTATTTATGGCTATCATTGTCGGGATGCTGTGTTTGGGACTCTAACTTCATTGCAGGTTCACCTCCTGGCTGTGACCTCTGGTGGAATGACTCTGTCCTCTTCTTTAAGCCTAGATGACAAATCTCTTTATTATTAGTGCTGAGTGTTGCAAAGTCCTCACACCTTGCCACCTTGCGTAGACTGACCATTTGACAAAATTCCACATATGAATGCACCATTTGCTTTCAAAGAGCAAGAGAAAGAGAAGTAGAAGAAGAAAGGGCAGAGGAAAAGAGGAATTTCGCAGTTCTCAAAGTCCAAGATCAAGGTGCCAGAAAGATTGGTTTCTGGTGAAGACTGTCATATTGTTGTGTTCTCATGGAATTGGATCGAAGAAGAGACTTTAAGTGTCCTCACCACACACACACACAAAACACAATTTCAAATGTTTTAGTTTAAACTGGTTCACAATTTTGATACCTAATAACTAAGAAAATGTACAAATATCTAAGCTTAAAATTAAATCATTAAAAATTAATATTGTGGAAATTGATGAGTATTTTATAATAAGACTAAAACATACAAACTTAACTTTTTGTTTGTTTGTTTAAAAAATATGCGTGCTTGCCAGACAGAGATAGAGAGACAGAGACAGAGAGGAGAAAAGCACTCTCTCAGGGAGGATGCTCATGCTGCAATCCCTTCTTCTCTCTCTCTCTTTTCTTTCGGGATTTTGAGTATGTATTTCTATGTATCCAATGTTTTTCTCAAGCCACAGGGTCTGGGACTCAGATTGGTGTGATCATCCATTTAGGATCCAGTTGCCTGAACCAGTAGGCACAGAGCTGGCCCTAAACGAACTTTTAAAAATGTGTATGTTGAACACATGAGAGAACACTTGGAAAGTTTTTATATGTAGTGAGTTCAGTGAGGACTTCTTATAGTTTAAACATTTCTATCAACAGCGTGGACAAAAATCCCTAAAATAATGCAAATGTTTAAGCACATAGAAATAATAAAATATGGAACGATGTAACTCTATATTAATCTCTTTAGCATTTTAGCTCTACGCTTTAGCCAAGCAAATTAAACACCATACCAGAGCAACTCCTCCGCCATAGTTTTTATCACACATCTTCCCTTGAAAGGTTGCGCCAACGTAATTTGACTTTTCTCTGTAACTTAAATTTAACAAAATATTGGAATCACACATTTTGTAAAAATAGGCATAACTAATACTGAATTTTATAAGATAAAAGTTTAATTTGGCACATTCATATTAAACTCATAATTATCTCTAGCTAACATTACTATGACATAGCAAAGGGGAAGACTAAATGTTGCTGCTTCTTTTGAAAACAATGAAAGACTTCCAAAACACAGTAAAAAGTCTATTTTCAAATGGATTTTTATAACAGAACAAAGATTCACTTTGTGTAGTGTTTTATAAGGTTAGCCCCCCAAATAAAATTATTAAAAAAAATAAAATTTGGGGGAGGTATGTTTTTGTTTTTAGGTTTTGCCATAGGGTATGTACACTAGTCGTAGAGACATAGGGAAAGTGGGAAATCCCCCACACCGGGGGGATGGCCACACCACAATCCCTTCTTCTCCATTCTCTTCCTGGGATTTTGGACACACCTGCACATGTGCTCCGTGTGATTTTCAAGCTGCCATGCCTGGGACTCAAAATGTCAGCCATATGAGAGCCCAACACCTTAACCACCTTGCCCCAAAACATAAAATCTTTTAAAATTAGTAAGCTAAGACAATGAAACTGATTAAGGGCCGGAATCATCGCATGAACTAAAGTCCTCCTTTAATTCGGTAGAGTTAGCCTGCCAAAACCATGCAAAGAAATAGTATAATTATGGTACAGAGGCTAAAGAAAAAGACTTAAAAATTTTAAAATATATTTATGTGTGTGTGTGTGTATACATCCTGATTATTGATAAGAAAGAAATACAAAGTTTATTACATAGAAGCGGAGGCTCACATACTAAGAGCTTCAGGAAAATGTGGCTATATTATTAGAGTTATTCAAATATACAATACTATTGCCACTTTTAAAAATTACATGACAACACAACTTGAGAAGTTTAGATTATTAGCATCATTCTTTTAATTTGCCAAAGGGCACATGTGATCACCAAAAAGAGACGGAGAGAGAAAAAGAAAAGGACAGTGGGAAAGCAACCTCCCATGGGAAGACGGTCACGTGGCAATCCTTTCCCCTCGATTTTCCTCTCTGTTCAGAATTGTGGGCATGCACACACATGCACCCAGGGTATTTCTCAAGCCACTGTGTTCTAGACTCAAACCATGCACACAGCCATATGTGATACAGCTGCCTTAACCACTATGCCACCAGCTGGTTCCAGGGTAGCTTATTATAATAATAGAAATTAGATATATGTTTTTAAATACATGCTTTAAAATATTTTATGCAGCTAGAGGCATTTAATGATATGGTATATATTCTATGGTAAGAGGGACTATGGTAAAGAAGGTTGAAGAAATAAGCTTTGACTACAGGCCAATAAGCTTATTGATATTAATAATTCTGCTAAGTATTTCATTGTGAAAAATAATATTTACAGAGTTGTATGTGAGTAAACAATGACAGGAGTTTTTTTTTCCCCTAAAGACCTCTCAACTATCAAATTAGGGGCCAAACTGAATATATTTTCTATTATCTTTAATAACACCAGAATATACTTACACAAGCAAAAATGCCACATCATGCGGACGTAAAGCAAGATAAGATCTTTTCCATGATAAAAATCTATGTAATAAGTCATTAGCATCTCCGGTGGTTACAATTTTATTTTCATCTATCCATAGCTCCAATGAAGACAGAATTATTGTAACATTAAATGAAGTAAAAATCTAGAAACAAATCCACACAGAAATTATGCTCAAACATCATAGTTTAAATAAGCTTGGTAACATATCTATGAAATGAACTTATGACTGATATTAAACAACCATACTATAAGTTTAAATGGGATCTTTTAAAGTATATTAAGTAACAAATTCTAACTATAATACAAGGGATAATTAACATTTTAAAATACCTGTACTTAAGCAAGCACAATGTCTAATGCTTTACTTAATTTAGTACTTATAATAATTAAGTATATAAAGTGATTATTGCTATTTTACAAATAAAAAAGATAAAACTAAGGGTCAGCAGGGGTGCAGTGGTTAAGGCTCTGGCTGACAGTGGTTCGAGGCCCAGACCCATTGGCTTGAAAAGTCACACTGGGTGTGTGTAAGTGCATACCCAAAATCACAGGAGGAGAACAGATCACACTTGTCCATCCCCCCGGGAAGTGATTTTTCTTTCCCTCTCTCTGTCTCTTTCCAACTAGCACATGTGTCCTGTGGCAAAAATCTAAACTAAACTAAAACTAAAAATGAATATTCATTTTCTCTAGATCATAAAATTATGTATTTTCAGGTAGTTGTATGCAAAAAAGTTCAAGGGGCCAGCTGGTGACATGGTGGTTAATGTGACTGGATCCCATATGGCAGACTGCACAGTTGTAGTTCTGGATTCAGAGGCTTGAAAAACAGGCTGAGCACATGTATGCGCATGCCCCAAATCCTGAAAGGAGGGAGAAATGGAAGGTCGAGATTGAGATTGGCCCTTGTGTGTGTAGGGGTGCCTTCATGCTTTCTCTCTCTCTCTGTTTCTCCCTAGTAAGTGCATGTGCTCTCTGGCAAACTAACGAAAGAAAGAAAGGAAGGAAGGAAGAAAGAAACCTAAGAAGGTACAGAAATTGTTTCAATAACACAAAATGTACTAGTAAAGTAAACACTTACAGAATTTGTCAATCCAATCAACTGAAAAATTTTTTGAGTCACAATAGCTGTATCAGAGTCCATACGATTGTACTGCAAAATATGGGCATGCACACACATGCACCCAGGGTATTTCTCAAGCCACTGTGTTCTAGACTCAAACCATGCACACAGCCATATGTGATACAGCTGCCTTAACCACTATGCCACCAGCTGGTTCCAGGGTAGCTTATTATAATAATAGAAATTAGATATATGTTTTTAAATACATGCTTTAAAATATTTTATGCAGCTAGAGGCATTTAATGATATGGTATATATTCTATGGTAAGAGGGACTATGGTAAAGAAGGTTGAAGAAATAAGCTTTGACTACAGGCCAATAAGCTTATTGATATTAATAATTCTGCTAAGTATTTCATTGTGAAAAATAATATTTACAGAGTTGTATGTGAGTAAACAATGACAGGAGTTTTTTTTTCCCCTAAAGACCTCTCAACTATCAAATTAGGGGCCAAACTGAATATATTTTCTATTATCTTTAATAACACCAGAATATACTTACACAAGCAAAAATGCCACATCATGCGGACGTAAAGCAAGATAAGATCTTTTCCATGATAAAAATCTATGTAATAAGTCATTAGCATCTCCGGTGGTTACAATTTTATTTTCATCTATCCATAGCTCCAATGAAGACAGAATTATTGTAACATTAAATGAAGTAAAAATCTAGAAACAAATCCACACAGAAATTATGCTCAAACATCATAGTTTAAATAAGCTTGGTAACATATCTATGAAATGAACTTATGACTGATATTAAACAACCATACTATAAGTTTAAATGGGATCTTTTAAAGTATATTAAGTAACAAATTCTAACTATAATACAAGGGATAATTAACATTTTAAAATACCTGTACTTAAGCAAGCACAATGTCTAATGCTTTACTTAATTTAGTACTTATAATAATTAAGTATATAAAGTGATTATTGCTATTTTACAAATAAAAAAGATAAAACTAAGGGTCAGCAGGGGTGCAGTGGTTAAGGCTCTGGCTGACAGTGGTTCGAGGCCCAGACCCATTGGCTTGAAAAGTCACACTGGGTGTGTGTAAGTGCATACCCAAAATCACAGGAGGAGAACAGATCACACTTGTCCATCCCCCCGGGAAGTGATTTTTCTTTCCCTCTCTCTGTCTCTTTCCAACTAGCACATGTGTCCTGTGGCAAAAATCTAAACTAAACTAAAACTAAAAATGAATATTCATTTTCTCTAGATCATAAAATTATGTATTTTCAGGTAGTTGTATGCAAAAAAGTTCAAGGGGCCAGCTGGTGACATGGTGGTTAATGTGACTGGATCCCATATGGCAGACTGCACAGTTGTAGTTCTGGATTCAGAGGCTTGAAAAACAGGCTGAGCACATGTATGCGCATGCCCCAAATCCTGAAAGGAGGGAGAAATGGAAGGTCGAGATTGAGATTGGCCCTTGTGTGTGTAGGGGTGCCTTCATGCTTTCTCTCTCTCTCTGTTTCTCCCTAGTAAGTGCATGTGCTCTCTGGCAAACTAACGAAAGAAAGAAAGGAAGGAAGGAAGAAAGAAACCTAAGAAGGTACAGAAATTGTTTCAATAACACAAAATGTACTAGTAAAGTAAACACTTACAGAATTTGTCAATCCAATCAACTGAAAAATTTTTTGAGTCACAATAGCTGTATCAGAGCCCATACGATTGTACTGCAAAATAAAACTATTTTTTAGATATAATTATACAATACATAATATTTAATCATTGTTCTTCTGTTTAAGATCTAATATAGTGAAGAAACCATTTAATATACCAAACTATTAGTTTTTAAGCAATATTATTATATTATGATATAAATTATTTTACACATAATTAGTGTAAAAGAGAGAATTATAAACAATAAAAAAGAGACTTTCTAGAAAGAAGGTATAATTACACTATTGGTTAATTCATGACAAAAATGATTAAAATACAATATTAATTTTAAATTATAACATCTTAATATGTTTACAGGAGACATCACATTTTCAAAGATGTGAATCACTTGAAAGTAAAAGGATTCAAGAGAAATATTGCACAAACAGAAATAATAAAGTGTCTGGGAGGTCATTAGGAAAATATGAAAATCACAAATGGATATATACCAAAGATCAGATCCAGAAAAATACAGGAAATAAAAAATAATGGATTTGAAGACAGAAATAGGAAGTTCAGCAATATTAGAGACTTAAGTATACAACTTTTCATAATATAATAGACAAAAAAATCAACAATGATATTGAATAGTAGAACAAAACTGTAAGTTGATAGACATATACAGAACATTCCAGTGCAAAACATGATAGAGATTGTTCTCAAATGCCCATGGAACATTATCCAGAAATAGAGCATATGAAAATTAAAGTAACTCAGAAAGTCCAGACAATTTAAAATAAGAACAAATTTTGGGGACTCATTATCTTCCACTTTAAAACTAACTATAAAGCTACAGGAAGCAAGAAACTGTGCTTCCAGCATTAGGTTAGACTTTTAGATCAACAAAACAAATTTTTTTTAACAGATAGATATATTTAATAGATTGGTTCTGGACAGTCCATAAAAGACCTTTCACAGCGGTGTGTAGATAACACACCCGGGTGATGTATTCTAACCATCCCATAAACCAGGGAGCAGGGCACATTGACCAATATATCATCCTATCACTCGACCATAATAACATGACTGCTTTCATGATGAACATGTACTAATCATTTCATATATCTCTTAGGTAAATGATAAAAATAGCAATTAAGTTTTAATAAAGCATATTTATAAAAGCTTCTTTTTAAAAACCAATACCAATATATACAATGAACAGGTTGTATATTTATGCACTCCAGGGTGGGGTCTAAATTACTCTTCTAATAAACATATGGTAAACTGCTGTACTTCCAAGTGTTTTTTTCCTCCCCAATGAAATTTTTTTTTCACTTTTTTTATTCTAATTTTTTATATAAATTCAATCATATTATTTAGCTTACAAAGTGAACATTTCAGTATGTGTGTGAACCTTTCTCTACAATTCAGTTGATCAGAGTATTTTCCACCAATAACACCACACTTCCCCTTCCCGTCAATGCTCTCTCTCCATATTCCTCTTCCAAATGCCCTTCCTCAGGTCCCTCTTCTCCACACACTCCACTTCTGGCACTAACCCCCATCTCTTGTGTTCGTACAACCTTAGGTCAATCAGTTTCAGTTATAGAGTGCAGACACTTGGTATATATTAAGCGGGGACATACAGTGTCTCTCCTTCATAACCTAGCTTGCTTCACTCAGCAGTAAATCTTCCATATTCTTCCACTTTTTGTCAAAAGCCAGGATTTTTTTTTTATGGCTGAATAGTATTCCATAGAGTATATGCGTCACGGTTTTTCAATCCATTCATCTGTACAGGGGCATTTGGGTTGGTTCCATGTCTTAGCAATCGTGAATAATGCCACAATAAACATCGATGTGGAAGCACTTTTCCAATTAAGAATTCTTCTGTCCTTTGGGTACATACCAAGGAGTAGGATTACTGGGACATATGGTAGTTCTATTTGTAGATTTTTGAGGAATACCAAAGAATTGAAAGACCTCCACAAGGAAAACTATGAGAAGATAAAAAATGAAATTGAAAATGACACAAAAAAGTGGAGGGATATCCCATATTCCTGGATTGGAAGAATTAATATAATCAAAATGGCAATTCTACCCAAATTAATCTACATATTTAATGTAATCCCTATCAAAGTACTAGATGCAATCTTCACATATCTAGAAAATACAATCGTACAATTAGTCTGGAATCATAAAAGACCCCATATTGCCAAAGCAATCCTGCACAAGAAGAGTAGAATGGGCAGCATCACACACCATGACTCAAAAATATACTACAAAGCTGCGGTGATCAGAACAGCATGGTACTGGCACAGAAGCAGACAGGTGGACCAATGGAACAGAATAGAATCCTCAGAAATAAATTCTCAAATATACAGTCAACTAATTTTTGACAAGAGTCAATCCAGTGGGAAAAGGAAAACCTCTTCAGCATATGGTGCTGGAAAAACTGGATTTCCACTTGCAGAAAGATGAATCTGACCCCCTACCTCTCACCTTTGACTAAACTCAACTCAAGGTAGATCAAAATATAAACAGGCCTAAAACTATAAATCTGCTCCTGGAAAACACTGGGGAAACTCTGGGAAACACTGGGGTAGACAAAGACTTCTTAAATAAGACCCCCAAAGCACAGTTGATCATCCCCAAAATAGACAAGTGGGATTACATCAGAATAAGAAGTTTCTGCATGGCAAAAGACACAGTAATTAGTGTGAAACAAAATAAAATTAAGAACCCAGAAATAAAGTCTAACATTTATAGTCAATTGACACTTAAGAGAACAAAAAATGTAATTGGAAAAAGATTGATAAATTTTCAAAATTAAAACCTTTATGTGTCAAATTATACCACTAAGAAAATCAAAAGACAATTTATGGAATGGGTTAAAATATCTATAAACCATTTACCTGAGAAAGGTTTAGTATCCAAAACATAAAAGAACATTTAGAACTAAACAGTGAATAGGTAACACAATTAAAATATGTGTAGAGAAACTGAGTGGACTTTTCTCCAAATAGTATATGTAAGTGGATAATATGTAGATGCAAATATTCTCACCATCATTAAACATTACAAAATGCAAATCAAAACCACAGTGAGAAACTAACTTAGGATCATTAAGATTTATGGTATTACAACACAGTGGAGTGACATTTCAATGTACATTTCAAAATAGCTGGAAGAGAATTTCAAATGTTCCCAACATAAAGTAATTATAAATGTTGAGGTATCGTCTTGATTTCATCATTATACATTGTATATATATATATTTAAAAATCATACTGTAACTTCATAAATAAGTCTATTTATGTCAACCCAAAACTATAAAATAGGGACCAGCAGGTGGTGTGGTGGTTAAGGTGTCGGACTCCCAAATGCCTGACCACAGTTCCAGTCCCAGACATGGCAGCTTGAAAAATCGTACCCGGCACATGTACATACATGCCCAGAATCCCGAGACTGCAGCGTGGCCATCCCTTTTGGTGAGAGGCGGGGTGGGGCAGGGTTCTCACTTTCTTGGGAGAGTACATGTGCTCTAGGGCAAAGCATAAAACAAAACAAAACAAAACAAAAACTATACAATAAAAAATTGTCTGGAAAAAAAATATATTTTTAAAACTCCAGAATGTAAATGCACATTGTAAAACTCCATAATGTCTTCCAAAAAAACCTCTTCATATATTTTCAGTGATAAAGTTGGAAATATGCCCATTAATAGAGGGAAAAATAGATGAAAAAAATTATGTTAGGAGGTCTAAATTTGAAATAATTTACTTTCATTCATAAGAAATTTGGAAAGAAATAACCTTTAGGCAATATCAAACCTTCCTCTATGCCAAATGTAAATAATTATTTTCCTGATAACCAAAACATTTTATGGGTGGAAAACTAGTATTTTCTCTTTAAATAATATAAATAATGTCAAGTATTACCTTAAAGAACTTAAAAAGTGCTAGAATACAAAAAAATTAAGTGTATATAATGATTCTAAAAGTTTCTATAAACTATAATAAGGTAGCAATTATTTTTATTTCCATTACTACTTATAAATTTAAGAATAAACATTGTATAGAATTTAATTCTCAATTTACTACTAATAGTAAGAATATAAGATACATTAGAGCAGATATAAAGTAAAATTATCACCAAATCTCCTCTATCAAAAATTCACTCCAAGTTTTATATTCCCTCATCACCAGCATTTAAGTGACATTAAAAAAATCAGAATATACTTACCAAATATTTTTCCACTACAACATGCATTTCTATATACTGAGAAAATTCTGATGGCTGAAAAAAAAATCATGAACTTTACATCAAAACTGAATTGTTTAAATATTTTAAGATATATCACTATAAAGATTACTATTTTATGTATACAAATAGAACCAGATAATATATACAAAATTTGATGTCACAAAATTTTTTTAGTTATTTCCTTTGTCACCTCTATACATCTAATCACTGAATTTACTCGGAAAATCACTTTGGTTAGCTTTGGCTCGGCAGTAATGCAAGATCCTATGGTGCTGAGACCATATGGGAAGACCTGTGTTTGTATCCCAAGGTCCCCCTGGGCACTCTGGGCACACATGTATGCCTGGCTGGGTGAGCTTGAGGGTAGGGCTATAGTATAAAGATACTGTTAGGAGTATCCCTCACACTCTCTCTCTTCCTTTCTCATGAAAAAAAAAAAAAAATCAGCTTAAAAAACAACTGCCCTCCACTGTCTGTTCTCCATACTCTCACTGGTACTAGGCTATCTGTTTTATCCACTTCACTAAAGAAATCCTTCCATTATTTTCCCATTACAAAACGGGTAATGTGTATTATTAACATATCCTTACGGTGTTCCCTGGATGAGACGAACATTTAAATTGGTGAACTTTTAGTAAGTCATATTTCCCTCCTTGATAATTTGAGTAAACCTCATGCAATTGGTTGAAGGCCTTTTTAGAATAAAGAATATCTCCTAAGCAAGAAAGAATTCTGCCAGCAAACTGCTTTGGACATGTTCTGCAACTCTACTTTGGATCACCATTCTGTCACCCTATTTTATAGATTTGGGATTTACCAAGCTTCCACAATCATGAAAACCAATTCCTTAAAATCTCTCTCTCTCTGTGATATTTATTATAGATCTGTCGATTGATCAATTGATCTATCTAGATAACCATCTTCCTATTTGTTCTGTTTTTCTAAAGCACTCTGACTTACGTGGAGGTTAGATGGAGATGGGGTTCAGTTTTATGTTTGTTTGTTTTTAAGAGAGATTTTTGCTATAGGGCACATGTACTTGCCAGAAGACAGAGGGAGACAGGAAGTGAGAAATCACCCACTAAGGTTATGGCCACACCACAATCTCTTCTCTTCCATTTTCATCCCAGGATTTGGGGCATGCACACACACACAAATCTGGCATGAATTTTAAACCACTGGGTCTGGGACTTGAACCATGGTCAACTATGGGAGTCTAGCAATGTAACCATTATGCTATCTGCTGATCCTGGATATGGAGTTCTAAAGAAAAAGAATCTTGAGACCAGCAGATGGCATAGCAGTTACACCTCTGAACTCCCACATGATTGATCGCAGTTCGAGTCCCATACCTAGTGGCTTGAAAATCAGGGCAGGCACATGTGCATGCATGACCAAGATTCTGGGAGGAGAAAGAATTATGAAGTGGTTACCTCCCCTAAGAAGTGATTTCTCATTTTCCTCGCTCACTGTGTCTGTCTCTCTGGTGAGCACACATACCCTAAGGCAAAAACCTATTATTTTTTTTTTCAATAAAGGAAAAGAATCTTAAGCATGAATCTTCTGAAATGGTTATGGATTTTCTAGAATTGGAGGTCTAATTGTTTCATATTTAAAGACACTACTGAGGGACCAGCAGTAGGCATAATGGTTACATTGCTGGACTCCCATGTAGTTGACTATGGTTTGGTGTTTTAAAACTCACGCAAGGCATGTGTATATGTGTGCTCAAAATCCTGAAGAATGGAGGAGAAGGGATTATGACATGGTCATCCCCTCTGGGGGTGATTTCTCACTTTCTATCTCTTTGTTGCTCTCTGTTTCTCTGCCTGATGGCAAAAATCTCTCTCTAAAAAAACTAAATAAATGAATGAAATGAAGGCACTGCTGAAAAGAGTACTGCTAGTCCATGGTGTGACAGGCAACAGAGATATAAAGATCATCGCCACTGGATATTCCTAATAAGATGGACAAAAGTCTAGGTGACATTATATAAGATACCTTCAAACACTGTTTTCAAACTAACAAGTAAAATGTAATTTGCAACTCCTAATGTTGCAGACCAAATGGGAAAAGAAAAGGATGAAGTCTATTTGAATTCTTTGTTCATTAAAACCTGAAAACCTCTATGTATACTTTGAAAGGAATGTGTTGTTTTGAAAGAAATCTTTATATCCTACAACCGTAGAGCTGAGCTTGTTTAACTCTAAACCCCACATCTCATCTTGTTATTGGGAAAACTGGTTTGCAAGATATGACACAAGTTATAAAGTTTCTGATATATACAATGTATTCATATATATGTGTATATATGTGAGTGTGCATGAGTGTGGAAATAAATAATTTGTTTACCATAAAAAAACCACAGTATACATATTGGTCTGTAGTTATGCCTATACAGTCTGCTCAGTTAATTGCCTACCTGTACACTTTGTATTTTATAGGGAAGATCTCTTGACTCTACATCCTTCTCTGTATATAAAGAAAACTGTGCATTCTTATCCTTTACTTGATAAATCACATGTTCAAAACCAATGGAAGCCTCCAGAGGTTCAATTCCATAACTAATATTTTCAAACTGTAGTATGCCCCTACAAATTTTAAAACAGTGAATAAATAAAATAATATTTTAATTATTATTTAAGTGTCAACAAAATACTACTTTGCTATTTCACTTCTTACTCCTATACAGATTATTTTCAACCTTAGTCTTAGATGGGAAAGTAGGAAAAAGTTACTCGGTCTTCACAAATTGATAGAGTGGCACTGAATGGTAGTGCTATTGGAACTTGCCTAGCCATTAATATTTCATGTTCTCCAAATATATCAAAAATCTTAGTCTAGCATAAGGGTAAGAGCCATTATAAATATACCCATTCTATGTTTTTCCAACAGCAGTTTGCCACAGTAGCCATGCCACACTACAAATACCATTAAATGCCATTTTAAAAAAACTTAAATTTCCATGTAAATATTCCATTTATTAATCTATAAAACTATGTATCACAACCTGAGTCCAGTACATGTGCTAACGATCACCATAGAATTTGGGTAACCTTCTATATACCCTTGGTAGTAGCAGAGCTCCTGAAAGAGAAAAATAAAACACATATATCCCTATTAGTATAACTTATGTTAAAGATTCTATTATCAACCATTTAAAGCATATATATTTTTTGTGTGCATATGTATTGAACACTCATTGTTTCCAATATAGAATTATAGAATTATATAAGATTATAAGATGAGTATAGGGCTCAGTTCTCCAAATTCATAGAGAATAAGTATATTTTCATCTTTTTAAATATGTTATAAATTAAACAGAACATTCCCAATTATTAAAATAAGCTAAAATTCATCAAAACTTATTTTTTCATATTCTTCTGACTTAATATTACATGGCAGAAAAAAGTATGAAAAATAATTATTTTCCAAACCATTTGAGTGTAATGGCAGAAAAAGAAAACTAAATTTTACTGACTTAAGGATGGAGGCCATGGTTTTCCAAAGTGCCTGGAAACTGAGATGCCCTATTCAAAAAAGGATGGAGGCACAGGATGAGGTTCCAAAATTACCTATGAGCTACTAACTCAGGTTCAATTTCTTTACTTATGCTTAAACTGAGAACATGGAAAAGGGATCCCACCCAAAGATCAGCATCACCTACCTATGGCTCTCATGGTCCCTCACAGGGATCCTGACAGCAGGCCTGACCATGGACCTACCAGATGATCAGCACACACTCTGACCAGACCAACTGGCAAAACTCTGCACCTGTGTAACTAGCCTAGAAGAGGAGACTGGAAGAGGTAACCACTATTCTTGTCTGTTAACTTTTTACTTTCAATCCTTTAGACTAGAGCATCCCATTTTCTCCTGGCACATCAAGATTTCTTTTATGAAATCTGCTGATAGTCTTATCAGGGCTCCCTTTAATTTGATGAGTTCATTTTCTCTTGCTGTTTTGAAAATTCTCCCATTGTCTTTGACTTTTGACAACTTAATTATAATGTGTTTCAGTGTAGACCTCCCTTGTGTTTAACCTATTGGGAGAATTTTTGGCCTCATAAATCTGAACTATAATAGAGTGACATATATTTGCCTATTCTTCAGGGAAAAAATTAGAACTGACCATTATTTCTTCTGTTAAAATTCTCACCTCTAAGGGCCAGAAGATTGTGTAGTGGCTACATTGCTGGAGTCTCACATGGCTGTGTCTTGAGTCCTGGAACTAGTGGCTTAAAACTCATGCAGGGCACATATGCATGCATGCCCAAGATTCTAGGAAGAAAATGGAGGAGAAAGGATTATGGCATGGCCATTCCCCTTGGGGGGTGATTTCTCACCTTCCTGCTCACTGTCTGTCTGTTGCTCTCTCTCTCCAGTGAGTGCATGTGCTCTAAGGCATAAACCTCCACCAAAAAAAAAAAAAAAAAAATTTTTTTCTCACCTCTGTAAGAATGCTTTAATTTCCAAACATTTGGTTGATTTATTATACAGGTATTAGAATGCAAACAGGGAACAAACAATACCATTTGTTAGGACAGGGCGAAGACATAAAAAAAATAACTTTTCGGGCATAGGTATACTCCCTGAAATTTTATCCATACTTCTCTATTATTTTTTACAACAAATTATAGACATTATTAAATGAAGTTCTGAGTGCTCCAAATATATAAAAATGTAATGTATTCCTAAATTTGCATGAAATTTTATGTGCATTTATCTGGCACTCTGACATTTCTCAGATAAGACTTGGAATTCTCCTTTTCTTCCTAGAATTAGCTTTCCTGATTCAAATAATGTTTTCTTTGTTTTTTAAATTTTAAGTATTTATGACATAAACAACTTCTACTGTCATAGGACATCATCATGAAACAAGTAGTTTAAGAAATAATCACTCATGTTTGTTTTGGTTAATCATCCACTTAATAAGGCTAAGTCAGTACACATCATCAAAGGAAGTGATTAAGTTTATGCCCAAACATAATCTCAACACTTTACTCAAATTACACGTGAATCACAGAGGACCAGCAGATGGTGTAGTGTTTACATCACTAGACTCTCACATGGCAAACCGCAGTTCAAGTCTCAGACCCCGTGGCTTCAAACTCATGCCAGATAGGTGTGCATGCATGCCCAACCTCCCAGAAGAATGGAGGAGAAGGGATTATAGTGTGGCCATCCCCCCTGGGGGGTGGTTATTCTCACTTTCCCTCTTACCATGTTTGTATCTCTCTCTCCAGCAAGTACATGTGCCCTAAGGCAAAAACCTCTTCAAAAAAACAAAACATAACAAAACAAAACAAAAAAACTATCACAGAAACTCATATGACAATATTAAAACAGAAAATGAAAAACATACCTGAAATTGTTCTTCAAAAGGTTGCATTATTTCTGTTCCATTATATCTATAAACTCTAAAATTAGAAGGTAAAAATTTCCTGTAAAATAAAGAAAATAATACATTTATTGTTTCTTAAAGCTTTGGTTTTGAAAGAAGATATTACTTTTATCTATTATAAGTAGGTAGGTTGACAGAGAAAAGAGAAATTTTCTGAATGTAGGAATTTTGTTCTTTGAGACCTGTCTTTACTCACTCTATTGCCACACTATCTTCCAACATGTTTTCCAAGCAGAGTAGGCAGGCTTTCACTTCAGTTATTTGAACCAGTTGCTATCCCTTTCTGGGATGTTCAGCATGATCTATTATGTCACCAAAATGTCACAGCTTTGCTTATACATCAACTTCTCATGGAGGCTTATCTTGACAAATCGACTTTTATATCAACTTTATTAAACATAAAAGCATAGGATTTCCAAAGCATACTCTTAATTTGCCCTAAATATTTGTCATTTATCACCTTCTAACACTGTTTCTCCTCCTGTTATTATATCATTAGCAGTCTCACCTATGTCTGCTTTCACAACAGAGTGGAGCACTTGTAAGAGATCATAAGGAGCTCAAAGTCTAAAACATTTACTCTCTTCTCCTTTGCCAAAAATTATACCGACTCTTGCCTTAAAGGGAAGAAACAAAGAAACAGCAACAGAACTAGTGCCATGCTGAGTGGGCATTCCACACAGTGTAGACCAAGACAGGACCTGGACGAGTCATGACACAGGAATGGAGGATTAATGCCCTCCGTTCTGTAAATATACGATTTGAGAAAGCTGCTGAGCATGAGTACACGTGACTGTGGACCTTCTAATAAAAAGCAGAGCTAGAAATGGCCTCCGCATTATGTGAAGGAAGGAAAAACATAAACCCCAGTTACTGTGGTCTGAATGTGCGTCCCTCCAAATGTCTGTGTTGAAACCTGATCACCAATATGGTGGTTTTAGGAGGTGAGACTCTAGGAGGTTGATTAGTGCCCTTATAAAAAAGGCCTCAGATGTGTGCCCAAGATCCCAGGAGAAGAGAGGAGAGGGGATTGTGGTGCGGCTATCCCCCACACCCCCCGGGGGATGATTTCTCACTTTCCCTCTCACTGTCTTTATTTCTCTATCTTTGGTGAGTGCATGCACCCTATGGCAAAGACCTCTTTAAAAAAGAAGAGAGGCCTCAGATAGATGAACTGATTCTTCCACCATATGAGGACATGGCAAGGGGCATCAGCTACGAACCAGGAAATGGCCTTTGTCAGGTACTAAATTCACATGCTCCTTGATCTTGGATTTTCCAGCCTCCAGAACTGTAAGAAATAAATCTCCGTGATACAAGTGATAAAAGGGGGATATTAAATTTAAGTTGATGTCTCCAAAATCAAATCAAGAATGTTAATCCTTGGTTAAACCCATAGCCTGGTGGTTCAAGGCTCTGGATCCCACATGGTCAACTGTGGTTCAAATCCTGACTCCAGAGGCTTTAAAAATACACTGAGTGCATGTACATGCCCAAATCCCTGATGGAGAAGTAGAGGGAAAAGGATCGTGGCATGCATGCCCCACTGGGGGGTGCTTTTCTCCCTCTATCTCTGTCTCTGATTAGTATATTCACCTCTGACCATTAAAAATAAATGTAAAAAGGAATGTCAATCTTCAGGTTGGAAAATTATACAGAGTCCTTAGAGGTATAAAAAGAAACACATAACAAGCCTATCAAACTATAGCATAGAAAAAGATATTGGAAGTACTCATGGGAATTTGCATGACTTTAAATGTCCTAATGCAAATCCTTTCCTTAAATTGTCAACAATATGTGTTAATGTGTTAAAACTGATCTTCAGTGCTGTAATTACATGTGTTTGGAAGCGCTCAGAGACTGTGGTGTTGCTGTGAAGAGGCAGAGTTTGGTGCTGCCCCTGCACACAGATGTCACGGTCGCTTGACAGTGGAGGTAGGGTCACTCTGTTCATGTATAAACTGGCCATATCTGAGACTAACAAGCTGCCAACCTATCCTGGGTAGGAGCTGGCAGGGCTTGAAGAGACTAGTAACAATGGTCTCTGAAGGCTTCCCCAGTTCACCAGCAAGGGCGACCCATGGCTCTTTCTTTTGTCCTCCTGCCTAAGGATTACATAATCTCGTCTGTAGTATGTAAAAAAGTAAAATTTTTTTTTTCATCCTTGATTCCCTATCTCTAAAGCAAAATATACAGGAAACAAGAAATGGAAAATTATTTGTTGATGATAACATGTATGTTGATGTGCTTGATTGAGTCAAAATACAGTGTATTCTGGGTGGAAAATCTCATTTTGTATAATATAATGATATATAATAAATGAATGTAAATAAATAAATTTAAATTAAATAAAGTAAAAATGGTGAAAGCTTTGCATTTTACTTTGATTATAGATTTTGTCACTCATAAATAAAATGCTTGCTTTCTCATATGCTACTTGTTATTACTTTTTTGCTATTTTGTAATCATGTTTTGAAGTGTTTTGAGCCAAGAGATATTTCACTACTACTGAAGTTACAAATAGTTGATGCTTCTTCAGAGAAGTATTTGTACTGATGTTCTAATTTTATTGTGTTAGTCATGAAGAATGTAGTTACTATTCAAAATATTTTTTGTTGCAGTATGTGATCATTTTTGTTTAAATGCCTTTTGATTGCTTGTGTGCAAGAAAACACACACACACATACACTTTATTTGTAAAGTGTATAATAGGTGATGCATCAATTACACAACTATTTATCGGATTGCATATTCTTTTTTTTTTTTTTGGGGAGAGATTTTCACTGTAGGGCGTGTGCGCTCGCCAGACAGACAGAGAGAGACATAGAGACAGAAAGCGAGAAATCACCCCCCAGGGGGATGGTCACGCCGCAATCCCTTCTCCTCCATTCTCCTCTCGGGATTTTGGGCACGCACGCACACGCGCCCGGCGTGAGTTTTAAGCCACCGGGTCCGGGAACCGAACCGCGGTCGACTACGTGGGAGTCCAGCGACATAGCCATTACGCTAACTGCTGGTTCCCCGGATTGCATATTCTATGCCTTTCTATGAATATAAAAAAAGAGCAGGTCAGCTCTGTAACATGGTGGTTAAGGCACTGGATCCCACATAGCCAATTGCACGGTTTGAGTTCTGGATCCAAAGGCCTAAAAAAATCCATGCTAGGTATGACCAGCAGATGGCACAATGGGTATGTCACTGGATTCCTGTGTAGTAAACTGTGCTTTGAGTCCTGTACCCGGGTATGTGTGCTTGCATATCCAAATTCCAGAGAGGAGACTGGAGAAGAAGTGATTGTGGAGTGGCCATCCCCTCAAGGGGGGTGATTTCTTGATTTCAGTCTCTCTCTCTCTATGGTGAGCACATATGCCTTATAGCAAAATTCTCAAAAGTAAACAAACAAACAAACAAACAAACATGCCAGGTGTGTGTATGTGTACCTAAAATTCCGAGGGGAGAATGAAGGAGAGAGAACTGTAGCAGGGTTTTCCTCCTTAGGGGCAGTCATTTCTCACTTCTCCTCTCTGTCTCCCTCTGTCTATGGCAAACACACATACCTTATGGCAAAAACCAAACAAACAAACAAACAAAAAACAAAAACAAACCACCTAAAAAAAAAAAAACACCTAAAAAAAAAGCAAAAAGAAGCATGAGAAAATTTAAAAAATACAGTATGTGATTCCTGCCATCTAAGAACATGCTATGCTCATTCAAATGCAAGTTGAATATAAGAAAAGTTGGAAATGAGCCATATTTATATTTTCAGAAAAATAGAAAATGATCAAGATTGGTCCTCCATGAGACCTCATGCACAAATAGAAACCTGGCACCAGCGGGATGAGGCAGAGGGGGGCAGGTGCTATGGATTCAGGTTCTAGATATTGATTAATATCGTCAAAGATGTTTGGCATAAAGTAAGAGACACATGAACAGTCAACCAAAAAACACCTTCAAATTCAAAAATCATCACATTCTGGACCATTACACGTTATGATTATAACTAAAACAAAAGGAATTGATGAAATAATAAGCATCACCTACTTTTGCGTTAGCCTTACAGCGTATATTTTCTCTTTAATTTCAATGTTGTAGGACACCTGGTAGGAGAGTACATTAGAAAGACAAATAGAATGAGAACAAAGTTGCAAAGAGTAACCACAGTTTTACATTAGTAAGAACTGCAATGAATACTGTACAAGAAGCAAATTTAGAATGTGAAGTTGATTTTCTCTCAATGGAATTTGGCATTAAAATTCAAGCTTTCAAAGTAAATACAGTGGGTAGAAGACTTTGTTTTTCTCTTTTTCTCAAATTTTAAATTTGTCCACTAATATAGAAGCTGGAAAATAAATGATTTATGTTAATGCTGCTATAATGAGATCTGTGGACTTACTGGAGAGAGACAGAGGCAGGGGGATTGAGAAAGCACCCTCTGGGGGATGGCCACACTGCAACCCCTTCTTTTCTTTTCTTGTCTGGGATTTTGGACATGCATGCACATGTGCCTGATGTGTTTTTCAAGCTGCAGGGTCTGGGACTCCAACTGTGTAGCTGGCCATGTGGGATTCAGTACCTTAGCCACTGCCCTGGGCTGGTCCATGGTTTTTAAATTTATGTATGTATGTATGTATGTATTTACCAGAAGATGCATGTGCTCTCCACCTGGCATTTTTTTCAAGCTGCCAGGACCAGACTCAAACTGTGGTCAGCCTTGTAGGATCATCTCCCTTAAGCACTACACTATGGGGCTGGCCAATAAATGACTTTTCATCCAATACTTTAACTTAATAAAGATTTAGACCACTGCAATACTTATTTACTGTTAAGTAAAGCAAGTCAGAAAATGAAAGAGGGGCATCGTATGTCCCCACTCAGTATATACCAAATGTCTGCACTCCACGGCAGAAACTGAAATATTGTACGATATAAAGGCGTGGAGAGCAACTGAGGTACCAGAGACAGGGTGGGAGGAAGGTGGGGACAGCAGAGGGTGAGAAGGAGGGAATCAAGAGGGAAACGAAAGAAGTAAAACAAACTCAAAAGAGAAAATCATCTGTTGAAGACAGTAGGTATGGTAATATTTTTGATTGGACCAATATTCAGTGTATTATGGATGAGAAAATTCTTTTTTTTTTTTTTTTGTGAGAGACTTTTGCTATAAGGCATATGTGCTCACCGGAGAGAGACAGAGACAGAAAGTGTGAAATCAGCCTCTGGGGGGATGACCATACTACAATCCCTTCTCTTCCATTCTCCTCTTGGGATCTTGGACATGCACACACATGTGCCTGGTGTAAGGTTTAAGCTGCCTGGTCTGGGATTTGAACCACAGTGAACTATGTGAGAGTCCAGTGATAAAACCATTATGCCATCTGCTGGTCCCTAGAAAATTCATTTTGTATGTTGTAATGATATACAGTGAATGAATATAAAATAAATTTTTAAAAATGGATGGAATAGAGTTAAATTATTCAATAGAAAATACACGTAGTAGTACAAAGAATTAAAAACCTGTACTGTGTACTATTTATAATTTTATAAAATTGGTTCAAAGCTTGAAGACAATCTCATTGATCTACTTTATGTATTTATTCATTTATTTTCCAGAGGTTGCGAGAGAAGAGAGATACAGAGATAGAGAGAAAATGACAAAGCACTCCTCTATGGGAAACAGTCACATTGAGATCTCTCCTTTATCTTTCCCTTCTTTTGGGATTTTGGGTACACATGCACAAGTACCTGGCATGTTTTCAAGCCACCAGGTCCAGGATTTGAACTGCACAGTTAGCCATGTGAGACCCATCTGCCTTACCACCATTCCACCAGTTGGTGGTATTTTATTTTATTTTTTAATTTTCAGAGGGTACATGTGCTCACCAGAGAGAGAGAGAGGGAGAGAGAGAGAGAGAGAGAGAGAGAGAATCCCCCAATTGAGCATGGTCACATCAAAATTCCTTCTTCCACTTTTACCCACTAGGCTATGAGGGCTGGCTCAGATCTATCTTATTAATATGAAGATTAAAAAATGGTATCTAACAAATGGACAACTTAGTTTCCATAGGTCAATTTTCAGAGCCTTCCTATCTTTGCATGGAGGGCCTTTCAATCCATGAGGATGCAATATATAGCCCAAGATTAAGGTCTTTTTTTTTTTTTCTCTTGTTTTATTGTCTTCAATAAGAAAGTTTAGCTTATGTTTGTTAGATTCATTTACATTTAGATTTTTATGCAGTGTAAAGGATATCTTTTTAAAAATAACATATGTAATTTTTTTGTTTTCCAGAATATAAATACTTTTGTGTTTTAATTTTGTTTTCTGAGAACTTGCTAACTTATTTATTAATTCTAATATTCTCTAGAACAGTGTGGGTTTTATTTTGTATAAAACAATTTCTTTTCTTTCTTCTTCTTCTTTTTTTTTTTTTTTTTTTTTTTTTTTTTTATATATTTTTGCTATAGGCACCATGCACTTGCTGGAGAGACAGAGAGAGACAGAGAGACAGAAAATGAGAAATCACCCCCCAGGAAGGATGGCCATGCTGTAATCCCTTCTCTTCCTTTCTCTTCTCAGGATTTTAAGCATGTATGCACATGTGCCTGGTGGGAGTTTCAAGCCTCCAGGTCCAGGATTTGAAGCATGGTGGGCCATGTGGGAGTCCAGCAATGTAACCATTACATCCTCTGCTAGTCCCATGTATAAAACAATTTCTTCTGTAAATAATGACATTATTTCTTCCCCTCCAATTATTATGTCTATTTGTTGTTTTTGATTTTCTATTTGTTTTTCTAAGTACTGGTTAGTATTTCTAGGTTGCTGATAAGCAGAAAAAGCAACAGCGGGCATCCATGTCTCTCTACTGGTCTCTAAGGCAAACTTTCAATATTTCAACTTCATGTACATTTTTAAAGGCATTTTGGGGCCAGCAGGTGGCATTGGGCTCCCACATGGTCAACTGCAGTTTGAGTCCCGGACTTGAAATTCACACCAGGTGCACAGGCATGCGTGCCCCAAATCCCAGGAGAATAGAGAAGGGGTTACAGAGTGGCTATCTGCTCTAGGAGGGTGATTTCTCACTTTCTCTCTCACTGTTTCTGTCTTTGCAGGGAGCGCACATGCCCTATGGCAAAACAAACCAACCAAAAAAACTTAAAAAAAAGACTTTTCAATTTCTCTTTAAGCCACCACTGATTATTATTTTTAATTATTATATCTTTCCAGCATATAAAAACATAAGAATATTAAGCAAAATATCATGCCACCAATGTCTATATTTAAAAAAAAATGTAGGTATTTGAAAATGATTGCAAACCCTCCCAGCAGCCCTGTCATGATTATACTGCCTTTCTTCTACCTCAGCAAACCACCATCCTGAGTTTCAGGATCCACGTGTATTCTCATACCTATACTAATTATGTTTATTTAAAAAATAGTTTGTTTTGCATAAATTTAGATATTACATAAACTTTACCCTTCTAAGAGTTATGTATTTTTTGTGAGGCTTAAATTACTGACTCAGTAACACTATACAAATATTTGTCTTCGATGGCCATGCTGCAATTCCTTCTCCTCCATTCTCCTCGTGGGATCTTGGACACACACATATGCTTTGTGTGAGTTTCAAGCCACCGAGTCTGGAACTCCAACCATGGTTGGCTATGTGGGAATCCATCAACCTAACTACCTCTCCATCTACTGGTATGATACTTGGGTCATTTTCAAGAGGTCTTTTCCACTCAAAAAATGGAGTATAAACATAAAATTCAGGAAGTGCTCATGGGTGAGAAATGGCAAGTTAACTTCTTAGGAACAAAATATCCACATGATTTTTAAATCATGAACAATGTTAGCAGTTACCTGTGTTTCAACTCCGTCAGTTGTCACAGACCCTGTTTTCTCTGGAACCACAATTTGCACAAATAATTTTTCAGAATCTGCAAGATCGAAGTGTTTTATTAGAGCCACACTCACGGCTTCCCAGTTTCTTTTAGTATCTCCTCATCCACACCCATAATCTGTATTCTGTCCATCACCTCTCACTTTTCCTATCTTTTCAATTACCCCTAATTTCCATTTCTTTCTAGAATTTCAAGAGCTTTTAAGTAGACAGAGGTATATTGTTTTAGGAATACTGTCCTGCAGATGGACTCTGCTAACTGGGGGGCACAAGTCTCAAGCTCTCAGGACAAGCAAATCCATGTATTCTGGACTCTCCCCCCCCCCAACTGGAGAGTTCAGAGCATTAAAAATGCAGAGCGGGATATAAACCTCTTCCAGAGAGGGATCCACTTGAGCTAGGGTACCTCCCACCTCTCCTAGGGTCGCAGGACTGAAGGGGAAGCTTCTGGCCTTGGGGTGAAATTTGTCTAGGGTAGGTTACAACGTGGGGGTGGACGCAGGTGAGCAGAGTTAGAACTCGTGTGGGACAGTGGTCCCCGGGTTTGTCCAGCCCAACTTGGAAGCCAAGGAAAAGGAGAGCTGACGCCCACAGACTGTCAGGGAGGGTTTTTCCCACTTACCATATTCTGGTTGGAATCCCCGGACCTCACTGAGCAGAAACAGGATGAACAACATAGCCTGATGTCCTGAAGTCCAGCCAGAATCCTGGCAGTTGGCCGACCAGAGGGCAGTTGGGAGCGCGAGGTGACCCTTCCAGGCCGGCACGCACCCTGCAGGTGGCGGGAGACTGAGTGCGGAGGTGACTAGGCGGGCTGGGAGGTCTGCGCGGAAGAACCAGGAGGTCTTGGCCGCCTTGAAGAAGGATTCTGTTGCCTCTATACCTGTTAGATGCAAAGAAAACCAAAAATGAATAAGCAAGCAAGGAAGAAGAAGGAAGGAAGGAAGGAAGGAAGGAAGGAAGGAAGGAAGAAAGAAAGAAAGAAAGAGGAAAGAAAGGAAGAAAGAAAGAAAAAGAAAAAAAGAAAAAAAAGAGAAGAGGAGAAGAGAAGAAAAGAGAAGAGAGAAGAGTAGAATGAATTCCAAAAGGCAGGGTTGAAGAAACGACTAAGAAACAGAAAGATTTATGTACATTTTAAATAAACCTTTTTTATTTTAAATTTTTTTCCTGTAGGGTACGTGTTCGACCCAGGGAGGAAAAAAGAGACAGAGAGAGAGAGAAAGAGAAGGGAAAGTGAGCCATCATCACCTCTAACAAGTATAGAATAATTTGGTCTGTTTTTGAACTTTTTACATACAGAACTGATTGTAATGTACTTTTATGTTTGAGTTATTTTAGTATGATTGTAAGACTCTCCGTAGCAAGTTTTATTTTTTCCTTTTTGGAGTTCATTGCACATTGGATGACTATGACGCCATTTGACTTTCCATTTTACTGTTGATAAACATTTGTTTTAATGATAGTTCTCCTGTTAAAATCAATATTTGACTGTAAGCATTCTTGTACATGCATTTTGGTCTATGTATGTGAGGATTCCTGTAGGGTAAATTTCTAAAGCAAAGTTGCTGGACCAGGGTATGTTTCAGTAGGTAGTTCCAAAGTTTTCCTAGATTGTGGTGCCAATTTATGACTCTACCAGAAGTATAGGGACATTTATTTTTTTCCGTATCAATGCCTACAGTTGTTTTGCTTTGTGTTAGTCATTTTAGTCATTTTGGTGGACTGCAGAAGACCTGCATTTTGGTTTTAATTTGTAGTTTCATGTGGTTAATAAACCTTAGCTCAATTTTATGTTCCTTGCCAATGCCTTTTGAAACTTTGATCCACTTTCTAACTGGGTTGATTGTCTTTTCTCTTTCTTACTAGTGTATTCTAGATATGATTCCTTGGTTGATTTCTATTTTAATATTTTGTATATCATTTCAAAGGGCCCAGCCTAACTAGAGAGTTACCATCACAGTGACATTTCCTTTGTGTTTACTCTGCTGA